TGAGGGGTGTGCCGAAATGGGTAATGGGGAGGCATGCGGACCCTGCCACTGGGGCCTTCGGTGGAGCTCCCTGTGGGGACACGAAACGTATGAGGGGTGTGCCGAAATGGGCGTGGGTGACGATGACGATGATGATGACGATGATGATGATGATGATGATGATGATGATGATGATGATGATGATGATGGTGGTGGTGGTGGTGGTGGTGGTGGTGGTGGTGGTGATGATGATGATGATGATGATGATGATGATGATGACGATGATGATGATGATGATGATGAGGATGATGATGATGATGATGATGACGATGATGATGAGGATGATGAGGATGATGAGGATGATGAGGATGATGATGATGATGATGATGATGATGATGATGATGATGATGATGCTGATGATGATGATGATGATGATGATGATGACGATGGGAAGAGGGAGGAGGGGGAGGAGGAGGAGGAGGAGGAGAGGAACGCGGGGCACCGTCTCTTCAAAACGAGGACCCAACACCACAGGATGGTTGGGAAAAATCGGAGCAGCCGGATGTCTGGGATCGCTCGTGGTGGAACGACCCACGCGACGCTCTCCGCTGTGGGGACGCTGCGATCGCTCGTGGTGGAACGATCCGCGCGGTGTCGGAGACCAACACGCGCGTCGCCGCGACAGGGCCGTGTGGTCAGGCATGCGCTTCTGGCGAGTTCCGCGCGGGCCTCCCGGGGTCGGCGCCCGGCCTCCCCCCTCCTCTGGCGGCCCGGGCAAGGGAGGTCCAGCGTCCACCAGAAGCCGCCGCGCGGAACTCCGAGAGGTCACGTGGGTGCAGTCTTCACCTCTACTCTGGTGCGCTCCAGGGCCTCACCTCCGAGGGCTCGAGAGGTTGTGGCCTCTCTTCCCTGGCGGAGGGCGGCGGAAGGCTGGCGGCTGGCGGGAGCAAAGCTCGGGCGGACCTCCTCCTCCTCCTCCTCCTTCTCCTCCTCCTCCTCCTCTCCTCCTCCTCCTCCTCCTCCTCTCCTCCTCCCCTCCTCCCCCTCCTCCTCCTCCGCCTCCTCCTCCTCCTCCTCCTCCTCCCTCCTCCTCCTCCTCCTCCTCCTCCTCCTCCTCTATTCGTTTTCCTTATACATACTTTCTCCCTGTCGCACCCCTAGGCCAGTTTTTAGGGCGGGCCGGTGATTCTGAAATTACAAAATTGGCAATAGCTTCACAGATGGAGGGTGGGCCGTTTTCAAAATGTGGCTCTCGCCTCAGCGCCGCGCACATTCGGTTTAAAACGTTTCACGGATTGAGGGCGGTTCATTTTCAAAGTGTGGCTCTCGCCTTAGTGCCGCGCGCATTCGTTCATACAATTTGCAAGAGTTTCACGGATTCCCATGGTCAACCTACCAGAAATTGTGTTTTGGAAGGATTCAGGATAATGCGGGTGCAACAGTTACGTTCGTTCGCGGTGTTGAAGTCCCATGAATGGCGTTCTGGCACGATTCAGGATCGTCAAGACGCAGCAGTCAGGTTGATCCGTGGCGTTGGAATCCCGAGAACAATGCTCTGGCGTGCCCCAGGGTCTTCAAACCGTTGTCCTCCAACGAGGCAGTTCCCTCAGCGGAAGTGAGCCGTTGTAGGGGCGTGTGAAGAGGGAGCTTGGAGGGAGGTTTTTTTCCAACGTCGTTGATGACTCTTGGGTTTACACTGGTCCTCCTCCTCCTCCTCCTCCTCCTCCTCCTCCTCCCTGGCGGCGGAGGCCGGCGGGCGTAAAAGGTGCGCCCGCCCCCCAGAGAGAGAGGCGTCAGCACCTGTGGGTGCAGGGCCTCTGCAGCGGGCCGGTGGCCCGTGAGACAGCGAGGGGGCGGGATGGGCTCACAAAACGACGCGAAGGTCGGGACAAAGTCGGATCGGGATAACCTGGAAATCTCTGAGAAGCGGCGGGTTTGGAGGATGTGTTGGGCGCCGCGGCCGCTCCAGAGCGTTCCGGAGCGCTCTGAGAGCGCTCCGGAACGCTCTGAGAGCGCTCCGGAACGCTCTGGAGCGATTTATCTCAGGAGGGGAAAAAACACACAGACACAATTAATCGGCCATTCCCCAGAAAATATGGGAAAATATGGGAATTGGGGGGGAAGACAAAAACCCAGAAAATATGAGAAAATATGGGGACTATTTTTATTTGTGTGTATTTATTTGTGTGTCCTAATTTCCCTTTGTTATCGCGATCCTAGCCCTGTTTTAGGATGGGCTCAGGCGGAGGCGCATCGACCCCCCGCCTCCCGTTAGTCGCCTGCCCGCCCCGCCCAGGAACGTGCTGTTTCGCAGTCGACAGCCTCTCGCCGATCCATCGTCGATGTGTCGCCGATTCCAGCCCAAGGCTTCTCCCCCCCGAGCCGCTCCGCGACCACTCTGGACCCTCCAGGGGAGCTTGTGGATGACCTCCGAATGGTGTCTCTGGGCCTTTCTGGGCTCCCTTGCGAAGTTTTTGCTTTTCGGCGTGTGCCAGAGGTGGGGAGAAGGTTGGCGCACTCGTTCAGCGGGCGTTGTCGTGGACACATACGAAGGAATCTTGTCGAATACATGCGCGAACGCTCGGGGGTTGTGCGAGTGCATGCGCATTTGAATTCAGGATTGTGGGAGATGCGAGCACTTTGTACGACGCGGAGCGCAACATCAAGCACTGTGCTGAGTGTACAGAGGAGAGTGATCATCTGCCATGCGATACTACTCACTTAGGCGTGGTTTGCATCAACCTCTTGTGACATCCAGTAGCTGGTGAAAACTTACCGTACAGGGTGACGCATCGTGTGAATGTGCCGTGTTGCCTACAGATCCATGCCATTCCGTATGTGTGCGTTTAACCAGTGCGCTCCGTATTACACCAGCACACATTTAATGTTGGGATGTGGGTCGGCAGCCCCCCACTTGGCGAGGTAGAAGGCTTGAGCCGAGGCAGCCGCCGTACCCCGGTAGCGAGGAGCGTTGCTGGTACGCTCAGGGTAGGGCTCGGGTGCCGTCTTGGCAGCGCCGCGGCGCGGTCCTGCCTGGGCCAGCACCGGGCCTCGGTGGGGTCTTGGTGCAGCGCTGCCAGGGTCCTGGCAGGGTCCTGGTCGAATCCTCGGGAGCCCCCGTAGGGTCCCCGCTGCCTCTCCTTCGGCCATCGTGGAGCGGCTGGGCGCGCGGCGTGGAGCAGCCCAGAGGCAGCCGGAGCCCGGCTCGGGCTGGCTCCGGCCTGGCTGCGCTGCTTTGGGCGCGCCGACGCCGGTCGGCGAGTGTGGCGCTGGGCCTGCTGAGCCTTGAGCCATCGCATCCGCAGGCCACCACCGTGCGTGGCCAGGGCCGTCCTGGCCCCCAGGATGGTGCACAGACCCTCCTGGCGTCGGCTCTGCGCCCTGCGGGGGCTCAGGATGGGCCTGGCTAGGCATGGCGGAGGTGTGTGTGTGTGTGTGTGTGTGTGTGCGTGTGTGTGTGTGTGTGTGTGTGTGTGTGTGTGTGCGGGTGTGTGTGTGTGTGTGTGTGCGTGTGTGTGCGTGTGTGTGTGTGTGTGTGTGTGTGTGTGTGTGCGCGCACGGCGATGCCTCCTGCGCCCCATAGCTCTCCTCCAGCTGCGTCGGCTCGAGCTATCCCACCTGGGCATCCAACGATGTGATTTGATCAGTCCGCGGCCCCACCAGACCTTGAGATCCGACGTCTCGAACAAATTGAGGCATCGTGAAAAATCACGACCGGAGCCCTGGACCCCCTCGTTCTGCGTCATTTTTCGAGCTGGATCGATCTGTGAGGGTCCCGCTGCTCGAAACCAGGCGAAAACGCCCGGCTTAAAAAACTTGAGTCGCCAGGATTTTAGGGGAGGTTCCGATTGCCCCCCACCCCCCAGAGGCCGGGCCCGTTTGGGACGGCGCCCCCCGGAAGGCCGAGGCCGAAGAAGGGCGGCAGGAGCGCCAGTGGCGGTGCCGCCCGGTGCTGCCTGCCCGCGCTGCCCTTTTGCGCAGGTCGGCGCGAGCCCAGGGCTCTAGACTCTAGACCCCCTCGCGTCGTGAAAAAATCACGACGGGAGTTTTTATCGCTATTCTCGGCCTCCGGGGGCCCTCATACTGGGCCTCGGGGCCGTCAAACAACGATTCAGGACGAACAGAAAAACTGGTCCCTGAGAAAGGGTCGGGACTTCCAGGGAGCCCGTATTCAACAAAGCAGGACGTCGCATGTCTGGGGGCGGGGAAGCGAGAGGGGGCAGGCCTTCTCCCAGCGCTTCGCGCTCGCGCCCGCGGCCTGCCTGAGAAGAGCAGGCCTTCTCTCCGACGGCCGCGGGGGCCCTCGCGCCCTCCGAGGAGCCGCCCCTGGCTTCGGAGGCGGCTCACACAGCACTCCTCGGAGGGCTGGCGTTAAGTCGGGCCTGTCCCTCTACAGGGGGAATATTCAAAAATAGTCAAAAATAGTCAGGGGACTATTTTTCGAGTATTTTTGGGCATCCTTTGAATCTTTTTGTTTTGACATGTTTTCATTTTTCGTCCAAAATCTGGCCGCCGCGCGCGAGGGGGGGGGATGGGGGGGGGCGGGCCAGCGCCAGGGCCGGGCCAGACTCGGTCCGCCGGGCGCCTGGGTGCCCCTCCGGGCCCGTTGTCCCTGCTCCCCTGAGGCCTGACGCTGCGCACAAGATTGCAACAGCGTGGAAATCCACGACTGGAGCCCCGGACCCCACCTCTCTGGGGCATGTTTCGAGCCGGCTCGATCTGTGATGGCTGCAATCGAGGGAGCACGTTTGGATTGAACAGCGATCACATCGCACTGCTTGCCAAGGCCTCGGGCTGCGTGCAGACCACCCACCCAGGTAGTCCCGGCTGGCCTCAACAGGCCCCCTGAGGAGCCCGAGCTGGCCTCAGCAGGTCATCCGCATACAGTCGGGGCCCTGAAGAAGGAACCCTTTTCGTTGGGGAGGGGCTCCGCGTTCCTTAAGTGTTTCACAGCTTGCCGCAGGTTTTCCTTATGTTTTCGATCGGAAATCGAAGTTTAACTTATGGAAAAAACGGGCCTCGTTCCTTATTTAGGGTTCCTTAGGTCAACGCCCCGACTGTAGTCCATGCGGTCTCAGCACCCTGGCGCCGCGCCGCCTCTGGCGGTGCCCCTGTGGCGCTCCGCACACCAGCGCTGATGTGCTGAGACCGCCCTGGACTCATCGGAGGGGCCCGTGGAAGGCCAGCTGGGGCTGCTCGGGGGGCCCGTCGAGGCCAGCGGGGACCACCTGGGGGGGCTGTCTGTGCGCAGCCTGGAGCCTGACCACTCGGGTAGGGGATCGACTACAGCACTCATCTGCGCCAGAACTGATTTCCTCGGCGAGTCATGCGCCGCACTCTCGCATTTCTACGAGCATCCCACGAACCTCTCGTGGATTCGCCGAGCAAATCAGTCCTGGGGCAAGACAGATCTGCAGGCGGAGCATCCCCTGCTCGAGCCACCTCTGCCCCCCCCCCGGCCGCGCCGGCACGCCCCGATGCCATGCGGCCCCTCAAGCTGCTCGCCCTCGAGCCCGAGGCCCTGGTCTTCGACCGCGCCGCCCCCGGCGCCGAGGCCCTCTCGGCGTGCTCCGCCGCCGCCGCCGCGGTCGCTCTCGGCGTGCGCCGCCGCCGCCGCCGCGGTCGTCCTCCGCCCAGGGGAGCAGGAAGCCGCGAGGACTGGATCGAAGAGCACCAGCTGGCAGGCGCAGAGGTTGGCCAGCGTGGGCCCCAACAGAGTGTGCTGCCAGCAGGCCGTGTTGTGCAGTCTGGGTGTCACAGCATAGATGTGGCGCCACCCTCGTGGTGCGATCTGTATACACATACCGATATTTATAAAACAGGATCTGTGGGTTGCACTGCATGCTGTGCAGACTATGTTGTGCAACATAGACTGTGTAATCTTTGTGAGGCAATCTGTGTGGTGCAGTCTACGTCGTGCAATGTTCACACGCGCACGCACACACGCACATACATGTGTGTATGTATATGTGTGCATATATGTATACACATCTATGTATATGAAAGAGCGTGTTCTACCGCTGCTGGCGGAAAACCGGGGGGGGTCACTACCGGTTCGAACCCCTCCCCCCCCCCCCTCCGGAAAAACGCGGGGGGGTCACTACCGGTTCGAAAACCCCTCCCCCCCCACCCCAGTTCATCATGAAAAGGGGGGGGTCACTACCGGTTCGAACCCCCCCCCTCCCCCCCAACACCCCCCCAAACCAACTCCGATCCGGAAAAACGGGGGGGTCACTACCGGTTCGAACCCCCCCCCCACCCCCCTCGAAAACCGAGTGGGGGTGCGGACAGTGGTGGGGACGGTGTTGGTGGGGACAGTGGTGAGGGGACAGCGGGACAGTGGTGGGGACAGTGGGGGGACAGTGGGACAGCGGTGGGGAGGGTAGTGGTGGGGACAGTGGTGAGGGGACATGCGGGACAGCAGTGGGACAGTGGGACAGTGGTGGGGTCGGTAGTGGTGGGGACAGTGGTGGGGACAATGGTGGGAACAGGGGGGGACAGTGGACAGTGGTGGTGACGGTGGTGGTGGGGACAGTGGTGTGGGGACAATGGGAATGAGGTGGAAACAGTGGGACAGTGGAGGGTACAATGGTGGTGGGGACAGTGGTGAAGGCGGTGGCGAGGACGGCGGTGGGACAATGGGACAGAGGTACAGTGGGGACAGTGGTGGGGACAGTGGGGACAGTGGTGGGAACAGTGGGACAGCTCAGTGGGACAGCGGAGGAGTCAGTGGGACAGTGGGGACAGTGGGGATAGTCGGGCAGTGGTTGGGGCCGTGGAGACAGTGGGGAGAGTGGAACCGTGGTGGGAACAGTTCTGGGGACAGCGGGGACAGTGCGACAGTGGTGGGGCCACTGGTGGGGACAGTAGGGGCGGTGGTGGAAACCAGTGGGGACAGCGGTGGTGAGGACAGTGGTGCTGGAAACACCAGTGGGGGATGTGATGCGGACGGTGGTGGGGACCGGGAGTCGTTTGCTGGCGGTGAGTAGGGGGGAGGGGGGGGGGGGGTTCGAACCGGTAGTGACCCCCCCCGGTTTTCCGGATCCGGAGGGGGGGGGGGGGGGGGGTGGGGGTTGGGGGGGGGGGGGGGGGGGGGGGCGGGGGCGGCGGGGGCGTGGTGAGGGTAGGGGGGGGGGGGGGGGGAGGGGTTCGGAACGGTAGTGACCTATCGGTTTTCGAGAGGTGGGGGGGGGGGGGGGGGGGAGGGGTTAGGCGGAAAATGTCACCCCTTTGACGGGAGGGAGGGCGGGGGGCTGGGGGTGGGGGGGGAGGGGTTCAAGCAGGGGGGGGGGGGGGTGGGATTTTTGGAAGGGGGGGGGGGGGTGACCCCAGGGTTTCCGGTGGTTAGGTTGGCAATTTTCCACAGTAAAGCGGCGGTGGATCACGCTCTCTCATGTATATACATATATATGTATACACATAAACCTTTACTGTGCAATCTGTGTCGTGCAATACATGTGGTGCACATCATGTGGTGCAACCTGTGTGGTACGCAGTCCATATGGTGCAATCGACGTGGTGCACTATACGTGATGCAGTCTATGTGGTGCAACGTAGGTGCTGCAACATGTGCGGTGCGCTCCATCTATTCTGTGCAGTCTTTGTGGGACAATCTACATGGTGTAGTGTAGATGGTGCAAGCTGTGTGGTCCAATCTTTGTTGTGCAACTAGTGGTGCCATCGACATGGTGCAAACTGCTTCGTGCAACCTATTTTGTGCAGTTGACCTCGGAGTTGTCAAGTCCCCTGCTCGCGCAATCATTCCACCCACTCGTCCGCAACTTGGTTTGCAAAGTCCGTGCGGCGGCGATTGCGATGAGTGCTTTGTGTTGGCTTTTGAATTTCTGCGGCCGCGCTTGACCGTGCATGCTCGCGCGCGCAGCGGCCAGCTGGTTTGGCGCGACCGATACGGCCTCGGGGGCGCTGACCGCTGGGCACTTCCCTTCCCAGCGGGCACTTCAGTACGAGTCGGTGATATGGGCGGGCGCGATATCACCACGACGTCGGCAACGGTAGACACGATGATGCTAATAGCGATGGTGACGATGATGCCGTCGACGACGGCAAAGCCCATGATGGCGCCGAGGCTGATCACGCCGATGACGATGACGATGTCCTCGCGTCGGTGTTGCAGGTTTTGGAAGGGCTTCAACATGTGCGCGCGGCCGACGCGCGCGAGTGACCCGCATAGTGTTACTTTTGAGGGATCGTGCCCCCCCCGACGCGCGCGCAAACGCGTTCGAACGATTTCGACATGCTGAACAGTTATGTATATATATACACATACAAGGAAACCAGTTCAGCACCTGAGGCTTTATTTCGTAAGAGTTCGCAAGAGCACACAGGGTGTCTCATAGGAGAACTGATGATGCAACACTCATGTTTTGTTGTTTTTTTTATAGGTGTTCGGGAAACCCCATGTTGACATCCTTGCTATAAAAAGGGCGTTTTCTGAACGATTGCGGTATGCGCGTGACGACGCGCGCGTTTGCACTGCGTCTTTTAGAGCAAGGAATCCTTGCGACACCACGCGCGCACAGGCGTTCGAACGTTTTGGACTTGCGCGCGCAAGAAGCACGCTTGTTAGCATTTAGCGAACTTGCTGGACATTGATAGTTTTCGCCAGAAGTCGCAATCACGCGAACGCAGGTTTTTGTGTGTTATATACGTGTATATGTACATATATTTATATGTGTATATGTATTTGTCTATGCATATGTATATGTATATGTATATGTATATGTATATGTAGACGTACTTGTATATGTACATGTATATGTGTATGTCTATGTGCACGTATATGTATATGTACATGTATATGTATATGTTCATGCATATGTGTATGTATATGTATATGCGCGTGTGCATGTATACGTGCATGTAACTGTTTATGCATGCGTATGTATATGCATATGTTTATGTCTATGTATAGATGCCTGTATTTCTGTATATGTATAGGTATGCATATGTAATTATGTATATGTTATGTATATACGTATACGTATATATTTATATACGTACATGTAGATGTATAGGTGTATGCATGTGTATATGTGGTCTGTTTATGTAGATGTGTGTGTATGTAATTATATATATATATATATATATTTATTATATATATATATATATATATAGTGGAGGTCCCGATTGCGATGCCATGTTTTTTTTTTTTGGGGGGGGGGGGAATATGGTGCCATGGCACTCGATTTCATACTCCTCACGCACCTTTTGACTTTTGAGAGATTTCGGCATGCGCGCGACGACGCGCGCGTGTGCACGTCGCCTGCATTTCCCATTGTTTTGGAAAACTTATGGTTTTTGGCAAATGAGTGTGCGCGCGTAGTTTTTTGCAGAGGATGTGTGGTGCGGGGGGTCGATCAAGGACTGCCTGGGGCGGTATGAGTTCATATATCGGATGGGCGATCGGGCAGGACCATCTGTACATTGCAATGAACAAAAGCGGGCCGTCAAATCTAGGGGGGTTCGATCCTAATAGATTTTGGCAAACAGCGAATATATGTGGTACAATCTTTGTTGTACAATCTAGGCGGCGGCGGGGCGGCGATGGCGAGCACAGAGGCGCCAGGCCGACAAACAGGCCCAGACGACGGGCGGCGACGGGGGGCGGCGACGGGGCGGCGACGGCGAGCACGGAACCGCCAGACTGACAATCCCCGTTTCACGTCGGGGCGGCGGCGGGGCGGCGACGGCGAGCACGGAGTTGTCAAGTGCAAACACTGTTTGGGGACATTTCTAGGAGGTCCGCGCGGATTTCTTGGGTCGGCGTTGGGCTTCTGCACGAGCTCGTGTTCGTCCTGCTCTCTGCGCCGCCAGGGTCCCAGCCATCCTCGAATCGTGAGACTTCGCGGGGGGAGTTTTTTGTGCCACTCGCTTTCTAGGGGCCCTTCCAGGCCCCCGGGGGCAGCGACCAACACGCTCTCAGGAAGAAGAGCCTCTCCTGGGCCGCCTTTGGTGGATTGGGAAGTCTGCTTCTTTTTCGTCCGCGAAGGCGGAAAGCCGA